CAGTCGGGCTCCTTGTGCCTAAGGAAGCCTATGGATAGTTGTGGAGACCCCTTTCTGCAAGTGACTTTCATTCTTACCCCTGCCCTCCCCCCGCCTTTTTTTTCCACCCTCGGTGGACATATGGGCTTTTTTTTTTTCTTTCTTTCTTTTGTAGTTTGAATGGAATTTGAGGGTTTGAATCCATATTCATTTTTCTTTCATTGTTGAACCGAAATGTGTGTGTTTAAACGCTGTAATTTAAATGGTCTGTAATGCACTCCATAGCAAATGCTGTTTTGTTTTGTTTTTTTTATCTCTGCAAGAAAAACGATTCTCAAAACAAAAGTTAAAAAGCAGGAAAGAGGCCTATGTGAGTGTCAGGGCTGAGGGTGGGGCTCTCTTTGATCTCCAAATGATCACCAAATGGTTAGGGGACTTGCCCGTGGCAGGGTGCAGTTCTTCCTCTGTTTAAAGGGATCTTGATCCGTCCCTTATGAGAGGTTGTCCTGTTAGTGGCTGCTCTTAGGTTTTATGCTTACAAGTCCCTCCTAGACATTCTGCTCCTCTGCGTAACTGAGCATTTGGTGGAGTATGAAGTGAGCTCTGTACGTCCCARCTGTGTGCCCTAGCTGAGCATGTCTGAAAAGCAGTTTTGGCACCTAGTTCAGCAGCTGCACAGAACAATTCWAGCAGCAAAGATCAAGATGTTTCCTGTACTCTGGAAACAGCCCATGGCTTTGCTGGGCCTTCCAGGTTCCTGGATCTGAGTTTAAATTCGTTCTCCTTGATTCAAGGCAGGTATTTGGTGCAGAATTAGAAATCTGATCCCAAGAGTTTGGGCTGTTCTGGGATAAATCTGATACTCATTGAATAATAGAGAACGATGCCTCCCCATCACTAAGGTGGTGTGTGCCTTTGAGGTGCTCGTGTTTAGCTAAAACTATTTGTTGTGTTTATGAATAGCTTTGAGATGATGAAAATATTTCCTGCAAACTTAGCATTTGTTAAAACTAATCAATGTGTTTGTGTAATAGGGGACATCAATGGGTGGGAAGCAGGCCATTTATCGTAAAGGGAGTGGAAGTAACTGAATTTTGTGCTGGTGCCCATGGGCCGTGTGTGTCTGGTCAGTATGTAGGGCAGAAGGGTTATGTATGACAGTGTCTGTGTGCAAGACGCAGACTGAGTCTGTACAAATGACTTCTCTCATAGCCTAAGTACAGCACTTGTGTTGGGATCCAGATGGACAGTATCTGCTATGCTATTATTTAAAAAGCTGTTTGGTAATCAGCCTAGAAAACGTTGTCCCATGTTTTGCACCCTATTCTGTACATCCATAGTACAGCAAGAAAACTTAGAATCTGGAAAATCTTTAAGTCCAAAGAGTTTTTTAAGGTAATTGTGTGCACATGGTCACTACCTTTGACAGAGAGCTGGTCTGGTAACATATTCTACAAAGTGTTTTTTCAGAGTAAGGGGAAGTGCTGTGCTATGCTTACAATGTTGCTTTTTTTTTTTTTTTTTTAATCTTTTGTTACTTAAAAGAGGCTTGGCTCTCCCTATTCAAGTTATTTGGCTGACTTTCTGACCTGTTAACAGACAATGTTGGAGAGTGTCCTTGCAGCACATGCCAGCCTTGATGGGGATTGATATTTACAGACTGCTTGGTCCATTATTAGATTTCTAAATTGTTGATGAGTTGTTATTTTTTTTTCTTTGCCTTTCTAAGGTATTACTCGCATCTTCAKCAAATTCAAGCTTTTTATACATTTCCGTTCCACCCAATGATGACTGCAGTGCCCAACATGGAAGTGATGACTGAACAGCCAACTCTAGAAGGCATTCCAGAACCAAACGTGGCTCAGGAACCTACTAAAGGTAGTTCCATCATACTATATTAAGTGAGCTAGAAAAACTTGTTTTAATATACTGCCTGTTTAGATCTGAATTTCCTTTCCTTGATGCTCTTTGAGGTAGTATTGAGTATGTATTCTTTCCATATATATTATGTATTGCAATATGAGGATATATTAAGTTTCGTTATGAGGATGTGTTCTTYTTAGTAACATTTGTTACCAATCAGCAAGGTTAAACATGCTTATAACATTCACATAGTTCAGTTTCACRAAGTTGTCCCAAGAACAAAGGATGTTTAGCTTAGTAATTTAAGCTAGAGAGGGAAGATTCTCTCTCTCTTTTTTTTTAATCTCCGGTCTAAGCTGAAAAATGGCAGGACCTTCAAAGACAGGGCTTGAAAACTTACTTGTGAAATCTACAGGAGAAAATATGAAGGACAAAGACTGGACACTTTCAGGATTGCCCTCTCACAGGCTGCCCTGGCATTGTGGTCAGGTAGTTCATCTTTAATGACAGTGTCTGGCTATCATATCTGATCAGCTTGAGAGTTAGGAGGATGTCCTTCATTTTGAAATCATCTGGCAGCTTTGAGTTGGATGCATGTCTTGTGTTTTGCTGTCATGTGAAAATCTCCTAGTTCTCCCAAGAGATCCCATAATGGCTGAGGTTGGAAGGCACATCTAGAGATCATCTAGTCCAGCCCCCTGCTCCAACAGGGACACCCAGAGCACRGGGCACAGGGCGGCATCCAGGTGGATTTGGAAGATCTCCAGAGAAGGAGACTCCACAGCCTCCCTGGGCAGCCTGTGCTGGGGCTCTGTCACCCTCACAGCCAAGAAGTTCTTCCTCATGGGAAAGCTGTTGATGTGTCTTGCCGAGTTTGCAGCTTTCTAGCTTCTCCTTCATTGTGAGTAGACTAGAGCTCAAATGCCATTACAGCTTTTTTCATGCTCCAGTTGCTCCAGGAACGTGGTGGAAATTTGACATGRCTTTCATCCTGCTCCTTGTAAGAAAGCTTAGCACAAACAATATGAGGAGGAACCTGAGAAACTAAAATTGAGACATTGCCTTGATTTTAAAAGCAATACCTGCTTGCTGCTTGTTGCCAAGTAGTTTTCAGTTATGTTCTGCTACATGGCATTAAGCAATGGGAGTCAAGAGCAGGCTGTAGGTGCTCATCTCATGAGCTGTATCTGCGCTGACTAATTTTTAAGTGTTTGGTGCCAGAGGATAAGCTTCAGCAGAATGAAAAGTGACTTCTTTTTGCTTGCATTTCGTAAACTAAAAATGTGCATTTGGTCTCAATGATTCAAACTGACGCTCCAGAGCCTAAAAAAATGTTGCCTAGTTGTAAGCCCCGTGGAACAGCATCTGTCTGTAAACAGTAAATTGTGCATAGCTTATGCAGTGCTTAATGCATGAGATTACATTTGTGACAAATTTATATCTTGCACTATATATAATCTTTGAGACCTGTTGCTTTTGATGTGCTGTTTAGTTTCTTCACTATGTCAGAGTCTGCAACAATAAACTTTTATATTGGAAGCTGTAGCATCGATAGATAACTAGAACTATAATGTTCCTTGGAACTTAAAGTGTAATATTCTGGCTTGTTCTCAAAAACAAAGGAAAAAATATCTAAACCTTTTCCAAAGGATTGCTGCATATAGCATGTAAACTACCTACCGTAGCTCTCCCCTCCTCTTAGACTGGTTTGCATCTTGGTTGTCTGTGATCAGCGGGTGCCTGCGGTGCAGAGATGGTCAAGCTGCCTCTATGCTGACCCTTGAAAATTGAGATTTGTCTGATAATTATTTCCATGCATGGGTTTTTAGCAAGTATTCATACATCCAATTCAGTCTTTGTCAATGTCCACACTGTAGCATTAGAAATGTTAAAAAGAGACATGTGTTGTGTGTTTCAGCAGTTGCAAAAGGAGGAAGGAAAAGAAAAACYAAAGCAGCTGAGCCAAAGCAACCCAAAAAACCTGCCGCTAAAAAAGAAAAAGCAACCAAATCAAAAGGGAAACAGGAAAAGATCACAGATACTTTTAAAGTCAAAAGAAAAGTGGACCGTTTTAATGGTGTATCTGAAGCAGAGCTTCTTACCAAGACTTTACCTGATATTTTGACCTTTGATCTGGACATTGTAATAGTAAGTAACTCACAGATGCAGGATTAGGTAGAATGTAAGTCGTCTCTGTTCACTGGTTGTGAATATCTCTGTCATTTTATTCTCCAAGATCTTGGCATATACATATTTTAACTCTTTCCTGTGTACAGCAATTTTACATTTTCTGTTAAAAATCCTAGTAAAATCATAGTAAGCCATGAAAGCCTTAGTTTACATTTTACTTACTGTAAGTATTTATCAGTGACTATAAAAAATGCCCTGAG